TCCCCACTCTGTCTCTGGTGAATCCTCTCACCGCCCCTGCACCTCTGGCCTGTACCCCAGTTCTGTATGCACAAGTAAATAAATCTTTAAAAATAAATAAATAAATAAAAATTAAAAAATCAACTCAATTAAAATCACACAGAGAAGCCAAATCCAATAGACTCAAACTCTACTGAGAAGAGAGTTCTAGAAGGCAGTGGCAGATGGGTGCTGTCTGCAGTTCTTCCTCTCCTTCCACCGTCATCCACACTGAGAAAAGGGAATGCAGGGAAACCCAGGGGCCCACCCTGCTTCCACATTGCCTGTCCTGAGCAAGTGGACTACTGCACCTTGTTGGGGAGACTGACGTAAGGAATGTCAGTGGGGTCAGCACTTATAGGCTAAAGCTTTTTTAAAAAAGATTTATTTATTTATGTATACAGTACTGGGGTACGGGCCAGAGGTGAAGGGGCAGTGAGAGGATTCACCAGACAAAGAGTGGGGAGCAGAACAGGCAGATCGATGAAGTACACTGCAGCAGGGAGACAGGAGAGCTCTTCTGTGTCATGTGGGTCAGCTCCCTGGCCGGGATTCAAACTCGTACTGCAGTAGCTGCGTGATATGATAGCTTCGTAGTGCTGACACTTAACCCGCTGAACCACCAGGAAGGGCACATAACCTGACTTTTTGAAGGGCACTGAGGGTTGGTCTTGAATATCTTCCTGGCTGCCAACATCTGGATGTACAAGAATGAGTCTGGTCCACCAGCATGGACTGGAAAGGCCCAGAGTGAAAGCAGAGTAAAGCAAACTTCTACTTGCTGTAGATGTAGACTACAGCAAGGAAGAAACCCCTAATTTCATGGGCTCTCCATGGTGACACAGTGAGAGCTGGCCAGTGGGAAATCCCTGGCTGGGTCAGGGAACTCAGCACTTAAAGAGTGAAGTGTGACCCAGAGGTCCCATTCCCAAGTGCCAGGCCTTAGTCTCTTCATTTCCCCTGGTTAAATATAGCCCAGGAAGAATTCTTTTTTTTTAACCATGTTTATCAGCCTATGTTTTTTTAAATTTCTGACAGAAAAAACGAACCAGATTTGTTACCGATTCTATGGGCAATGTCTTTAGCGACGGAAGTGACATCATCCGTGCTGACAGCACTTCAATATTTTCTTGGGACAGACAAACAGTCATACATTCATGTAGCTCTTTAAATATAAACAACCACTCGTTTCAAAAATATGAAATGCCTGGGCCTGCCTGGTGGCACAAGGGGTTAAAGCACAGCACTATGAAGTTAGTCACAGCCATGAGTTCAATCCCTGGCCAGGGAGCTGACCCACATGGTGCAGCAGACCTCTCCTGTCTCACCCACTGCTCCCCTCAGCAGTGTGTTTCAGTAGATCCACCTGTTCTGCGCCCCACTCTGTTTCTGGTGAATTCTTTCAATGCCTCTGTACCTCTGGCCTGTGCCCAGTTCTGTATGCATAATGAATAAATCTTTATAGATATGTCTTATTGGAGACTGAGGAGCTCTATCTTTTCACCCAATCTGCTTGGGAGAGAGAAAACTGAGTATACCCCAGTGTTCATTTCCAGATGTGGCTCCTCCTTTTCAAAAGGGGTGGAGATGGCAGTGATGGTCAGAGTGACAGAGGGGACGAGTCCTGGGGGTGGCTCATCCGTGATGGGCTCGGTCTTGATGGTTGTTGAAGGGAACTCTGTAGACAGATACCATTTCTCATGTTCTGCTTCATCTGTGGGGAAAAGATAAGCACACGTGAGAACTTGCGCAAAGACCAGGCAGAGGACCAATGACTACTGAGCTTTGGCCTCAAAGGAAGGTACTTTAATTGGGTCTCCATGGTGGTGCAGGGGTTAAGTCTTAGTACTATGAAGCTGTCACAGCCACTGCAGCACAAGTTCGATCCCCATCCAGGGAGCTGACCCACACGGGACAGCAGACCTCTCCTGTCTCCTCGCTGCTCCCCTCAGCAGTGGATTTCTGTGGATCTGCCTGTTCTGCTCCCCACTCTGTCTCTGGGGAATCCTTGCACCGTTGACTTACACCCCAGCTTTCATATGCATAAATAAATAAAATCTTTAAAAAGAAAAACGAAAGGGAGCTGCTTTAACAAAGAAAGACAGAGAGTGGAGTGAAATAAAGTGAGGATGTGAGCAACAAGATAAATGGACAGAGACATACAGGACAAGGTGAGACCCTCAACTTGTATTCATCTGAGGTGAGTTTGCTTGAAGAAACTGGAAGAATACATCGGAAAGGAAGAGAGTTGGCTTGGGGAGGAGCAGAAAGGAGACGGGTGTGTGGGAAACAAGACAGGAGGGAGAATTCGGTGTGTAATATTGTAGACTTTTAGCTTTCAAACAAAGTGATGTGTTATCTATTCAAAAAGACACAAACAAGAATATTTAAAATAAGGAAAGCGTAAAAGACTCTCTCTTCGCTGAGAGCACCCGAGACAATGGCTAGGCCTCACTCCGCCTACAGTGGATGGTTGTTTGCCTTCCTGTTTTTGTGTGCGTTATTTTTCTCCTCTCATTCGCTTTTATGTTTACCTGTTTCCCCAAGACCCCATTTTTGCCTTAAACCCAACCAAGTCTCCCAGAACTTGACCTAGCTTCTGGGAAGCTTGGGTGTTCATAGGATGCCCCTTGCTGAAATGGACTAAAGACTCCTCCAGAGCCTTCAGGGGCTGATGTTGGGAAGTCAGGCAGTTGGCATGTCACTGCTTTTGTGATTAGCACAAAGCCTGGGGACAGGCAGGACGAACAGAGGGCAGCACCTCTGTCACTCAGCACGGGCCAGACAGCACCTCTTAACCGACACCAGTTTGACTAAAATAAAGCCACGTTGTTTTATAAAAATGTCTCAACACACACCACCCCTGTGCTTGACTGTGCAGGGGGAGAAAAGTCACTCACAGTAGGAACTGATTCTGCACACAAGGATCTGAGTCTTCTTATGAAAAGGGACACAAAAATCGTGCAGAGGCCCTCCCTGGTGGCGCAGCGGGTTAAAGCTCAGCACTAAGAAGCTTCCGCATGAAGCACTAAAGCCACTTCAGCATGAGTTCGATTCCTGTCTGCCCCGGCGGGGGGTGGTGACCACATGGCGCAGCAGACCTCTCCTGACCTGCCCACTGCTCCCCTCAGCCGTGTACTTTGTCGATCTGCCTGTTCTGCTCCCCGCTCTGTCTATAGTGAAGCCTCTCGCAGCCCCTCAGCCTCTGGCAGCCCCTGCACCTCTGGCCTGTTCCCCAGTTCTGTATACACAAATAAATAGATCTTTAAAAAAAAAATCATGCAGAACTGCCAGGGGCAAGGGGAAGGACAACGCAGAAGCTAAAAAATGAAAATTTGCAATCATTAAAATGGTATTTCATAAGCAACTCCCTTCAAACATGGGAAGAAGTTAGAGCCCTGTTCACAAAGGAAATGATTTCCCCCTGCATCCAATTTCTAATTTACTGGGTGAGTGATGCCAGTCCCAACTAACTTCCTGGAGGTAAAATAAAGATGGGCAAGACTTCTGTTGGTTGTTGGTGGTTTGCTTTTAAAGCTTGTCCTATGGCGCTGCTGAGTGGCTGGCGTGTGATGAAGACTTTCCACCCTTCACTGGGGCGTGGGCCACATCCTGACCGAGGGGGAAAAGGAGGGAACAAAGGGCCTTTTGATGGCAACCAGCAGAGGAGACCACACTGTACTTGACACAGAATTCTGCTCATCGGCCCGCTGCCCTGACGAGGAACCAAAAGAAGATTCTAACAGCACTCTGAGAAGGAGCTCAGACCCTGGAAGGCTGTCACCTGCAAGGAAGACACCCTCAGGGTGAATTCCAGAATGCTGGAGAAGCAGAGAATACAGATCATGTGGGCCTAGAGAGAAGCAGGAGCAGGCTGACCCTCCGCTAGTTGAGGCCATACTACGTCCTCTTCACGTGCAGGAGTTTATCACCGGCAGAGGCCAGAAGAGAGAAGTATGAAATACAGCTTCCGTGTACATTGAAATGAATGTAAAAATGCATCCCTAAGAAAGCAGTTGCAGGCAATTATGAGGGGAGCTGGGAGGGAAGGCCAGACCCTCTGAATGACTAACTTTGATTCCTGTGATAAACAGAATGCCTGAGGCAAAAACATACAAAATGACATGACAAAGTGAAGACTGGTAATGAAGTGAGTTCTTCCAATCTACCTAAGCCATTCTCAAAGCACATGTGTTTCTAAAATAGGACAAGCTATCACCAGCCACTGAAGCTATCACCAGCCACTGAAGCAGAGTTCGATTCCCGGCCAGGGGGGTGACCCGCATGGCCCTGCAGACCTCTCCTGTCTCCCTGCTGCTCCCCTCAACAGTGAATTTCTGTGGATCTGCCTGTTCTGCTCCCCACTTTGTCTCTGGTAAATCCTCTTCCTCACTCACCCCCTGCACCTCTGGCCTAGATCCCATAAATGAATAAAATAAATCTTTTCCCAAAAAAGTAAGTCAAGCGTCTACATTTTCATGCTCAGTGTCCTACACTCCTACCTGAACATTACTTATAATTATCGCTGAATCAGGGAAACTGAAGGACAAATGGAGATTCCTGATACTTGTGCTATGAAACAGAAATCTCTTTCAAGCACAACCGAACTCTTCCAGGAGAGAAGCCCGACAGAAGTTCCTTTTTCTCTCCTGAGCTTTTCTGATGGCCACTGCTGTTGCCTTCAGGCCTCCACTCTAGTACAGCGATTTAATCCTCTTTCAAAAGTAGTTTTTGGGTTAGAGAAAGTTTAAAGCCACCAAGATGAAATATATCGTTTTACAGATAAGGAAACTGCTATGTGGGTTTAGATCACACAGCAAAAGTGGTGGGGCCCAGCTCTCTGCACTCCCGGCCAGTATCCTTTCCAATAAGAAAAGAACTAGCTGAGCAGTTATGAGCGGCATCATTCTTTATAGTCACAAAACACTGAAAATAACCCAAACATTCAAAAGCAAAGGTGAATGAATTATGGCAGATCCATACAACAAGATATGCGTGTACTCAGTACTAATACATGCATAAAGCCCTTTTAATAGCAAGGCGAAGATTTATATAGAACATTAAGGGACAATAATACCTGGATATAAATTTAGATGCTATTGGTAAGAATGTGATAGCAAGGAGGGCCTTCCCTGGTGGTGCAACAGGTTAAAGCGCAGCACATGAAGCTCGCCGCAGCCTCTTCAACACAAGATTGATCCCTGGCCAGATTAGTGACCCACATGGTGCAGCAGACCTCCCCTGTCCTCTCCTGACCCGCCCGCTGCTCCCCTCAGCAGTGTACTCTGTCGATTTGCCCATTCTGCTCCCTACTATGTCTCTGGTGAATCCTCTCACCGCCCCTGCACCTCTGGTCTGTACCCCAGTTCTGTATGCATAAATAAATCTGAAAAAAAAAAAGCAAGGAAATATGCCAAACTAGCACAAACTGCTCTAGAGAATCACTCAGAGCATGAATGACTTTTGTTTTCTTTAAATTTTATAATATTTCAACATTTCCTGTATGGAGACCGTATTAATAATCCCAGGATGATTGTTATTAGACATGGTTTGCTTGTGCCTGTTCCACTTTATGCCTGATGATGGTAATTATTACACAGAAGCCCCAGTGGCTCAACAGGGCCCCTCAGTATCCTTCAACTGGAGAAGATTCAGTGAGTACCGTAATATACCTAGTAAGTTGTACTACTGGCTCCAGATATTCACTCCCCTGGCCATGTCCTCTTACCACAGGGCTGTGTCCAGCCCGTGTGGAAGAATCCTGCCCTGGGATTAGCTGTATGACTTGCTTTGGCCCACAGGGTGTAGGTTTCTTCACGCAAGTGGAATCCTGAAATGTTCTTGCATGACTGGACTTAAACTCTTGTCTTTTTGCCATCACAAGGAGAAGACTAAGCCAGGATAATCTACTGATTCCAAGGATGACAGACACACAAAAACTGAGTCATCCCCAAATGAGACTCGTCAAAATCAGTCAGCTCTCAGCTGGCCTTAGACATGCGAGTGGATCTAGTTAAAGGCGGGCGAGTCGCCCCGTCGCTCCCTATCCAGACCAATCAACCTCCCGTCAAAGCATAGGATAGACAAATGAGCATGAGCTATAATAGAAGACGTTAAAATGAATGAACGTGGAAGCAGCTTGTTATATAGCAAGATAGTTACCTGACACATTACAGCTGGAAGTGCATACAAGAAATGAAATCCAGGACATTCGAGCAAAATAGCTATACCTCATTTCCAAACCATCAACTGGAAACCATGTGAATAATTATTTGTGGAATTAGCCCAACCAGTTACAAAATAAAACAGATGACTTCAGATGAAGATGGTCAGCCAGCAAGAAATTTAGTGAGAACAACATTCCAGTGGCAAGTGAAATTAGAGAAAAGAGCTTTCACTCTGAACTACTGGGTGTTGGCTTGTACTCTGTTCCTCAATGGAAACAAAAATCAAATCAGAGAAAATGAAATGACAAATGTAACCTATGAGGTAGGGGGCTCACAAGGGATAAGGGGACCAAATGAGTAGAACGTGTATTATAATTTTCCCACATGACCTAACTTTAGAGTTTTGTTTTCTTTTTTTATTATTTTATTTTATTTTATTTTTTATTTTATAACAGTTTATTTTTACATCATTTTGTACATTTTTTTCCATCTCAATTGTAATCCCCGCGGGTTTCCCATCACCAAGTCACCTGTGCACTTCCCTCCC